CACACACACACACACACACACACACACACACACACACACACACACACACACACACACACACACACACACACACACACACACACCTCAGTGCTCTGTCCAAGTCAGAGGGTTAGCTGAAGAACACTGGAATGTGCAAATGTTACCAAAGACTTCCTCTGATAGTTTCCCAGTAAAGGTTTTAATGGTGACCACAGGAGCAGCGCTGCTGTTTTGGACGGTCGTTTTCTTTCACTTAACCTGAGCTCAGCGTCTCAGTAGCAGCTCCGCCTCTTTGCAGTGTATAAACAGACTGTAGCTGCACCTTAAACTGTGCCAGCGTCATCATCATCACTGCTGCTGTTGTGTTAACAGTCTTTGTTCAAAACTGGGGGCTGTGTGAGCTGCCAAACGTGCATTTTTCTATCCATCTGTAGCTCTAGATCTACACACACCAGCACCAGGCGCTGCTGATACTTTCTGCAGTTACCTGCTCTTGTCGCAGCCGGGCAACCTCCTCCTTCTGTCTCTGCTCTTCTTCTCGTCTCTGCTCTGCCTCCATGTGCGCCCGCAGAACCTCCTTCTCACTGGTCACTCGCTCGTACTCCTGCCACTCTCGGGCACGCCGCTCTGTTGCCAGTTCAAAGGCCTCTACAACTATGGAAGAATTATTGCCTTCAGAGTGCAGTGACAGATGACAGTGAAGACAGAGGACACAGTGAGTGACACAACCTTGAAGAGTGGTTCAGCCTCAGCAAAGCTGAAGCACTCTTCAAGACACATGCAATTTTCAGACAGTATTCAACACCAGCGCTGCACCTGCCCATTACTTTTATCATCCATTAGTCATTCTCAGATCAATCAGACAATAGTGAGATATTTATCAAGAGCCAGTAAATGTGGCTCCAGTGTTTGATAATCAAACTCAAAACTGCTTTTCTGATAATTGCACTGAATACTCGCAGCAACAACAAAGCGCAGACATGTGGCTGCAGCTGTATCGCAGCGTTCTACATGTCAGCTGAAGCAAACACCTCTGTGCCTAGGTGGAGTCTCCAGGTAATCTGATTTGCTAAGAGCAGTATAACGCTCATATTTGTCACTGACATTCCTCAGAGAGAGAAATAAAACAGTTTATGCTTTATAGTTTGTCAGACTGTCATTTGAACATTTTGGCAAATGTGGCATTCAGCTGAGGAAAGGAGCTGTGACAACAGCACAACAGACAATCTCTATACAGCTGCAACCTCCCATCATGCATCACAGCAATGATAATAAACACAAAGGATCTGTTTTAGTCTAAACTGAGCGTCCTTACCCACTGCAGGCCGGGCCTCTTTCTTGGGCCTGAAAGGCTCCTTGTGAATGACGGTGTTGGGCCGAGCTTTAAATACTGCTGCTTCCTCTTGATGTTTCTGTTCTTCTTTCACCTGTGAGGTACAGATGTTGTGAGTGTTATTCAAATAAAAAAATGAAAATAAAGTGAAAAATCCCATCATACCATCTGCTCCCAGCGACTGTTCTTCACAGTTCCCCGTTCATCCAGAAGCAGCCTAAAAGGCTCAGGCTTGGTAGGCTCCAGCTTCTTCTTCTCTGGCAGGACCACACTGTCAAAGTCAGGCAGCGGCTGGGCCTTAAACTGTGGTATCTGGAAAATATTCAGGCGACAGAGTCACTCAGTAACTCTGTACTGTGAAACTCTCGACGACATACTGAAAGTCAGACTACCTCTTCGTTTCGCTTTTCCTCCAACTTTTTCTCTCTCAAGGCTTTTCTTTCACGCTCCCTCTGCTCAAAGGAGAAAGGACAGACCTCCACACGGTGGTTCTCAGGTAGCCGGGGCTGAAAGGGCAGGCCGAAGTGAGGCACTGGGGGGGCCTTAACTGGTGACGGCTGCTTGACCTGACAAAGACAGTTTTATGGGTATAGCTGCAGTAGATGGTGCACAGAGCCATAGCAAAGACACACGTCCTTACCTCCTCGACCTTGCGATCTAGTCGAACTCTCTTCTTGAGGGCAAAGGCAGGAGACTCGGGAACAGTCGGATTTGCAACTTTCTTTTCTGGCAGTCCCTGTTGATGAGAGGATTCTTAAAACAGTAATCCCACACAGTAAAATCTGCCTTTCTGCAATGAAAAAACAACTTTGAAACTCATCAGTGTTTAAACTCACCACAACTCCTTCCAGAACCTTTTTGGGCAGAGGCTTGGCTTTAAAGTTCTGGGGCTTTTCGTCATCCTCCTGGGGCTTCTTTGTGGCCTGCCTCTCCTGGAGCCTTTTTTCAATCTCCAGCTCGAAGCCTTCGGGTACGGTGGGCTCCTTCACTGCTGGCTTTTTTAGGTCCTCTGCACCCTCCAGTATCTTCCTGTTCAGCTCCAGCGCCTTGATTTTAAAGCTGCGTTTAAAAGCCAACATTAGTCAATGGTCACTAGATCAAAATGTAACGCTGTCACAGTGAAGTGACCCAAACGTAGCTTCTGCCACAAACTACAACTGTAGCGGCAAAACACGTCACATCAATCAAGACATTTCAGCATTTTGGCCTCTGTAACTGTTGAAGCTGCAGCCATGCACATACTGATCCATGATTCCTAAATAATCAGCTGTATTTTGTATAATTACAGTCCTTAAAGAAACCCTGCAATGCCATATTTTCCATGTGTTAGCAAAAGGAGGAAGTTTACAATGGCTCATCTGAAACATCTTAGTGCATTTATTATTTGGAACACAGGAACACCTATGCACGGCTCCTCTTTGTAGACTACAGCTCGGCTTTTAATACCATCCGGCCATACAAACTCCGTCCCAAACTCCACCAACTGGGACTTAACTCCTCTCTGTGCAACTGGATTGTGGACTTCCTCACTAACCGTAGACAGAGTGTCAGAGTGGGTAAGAACACCTCCTCCACCCTTGTGGTCAACACCGGTGCCCCTCAGGGGTGTGTTCTGAGCCCTCTGCTATACACTCTCTTCACCCATGACTGTATTTCCTCCTGCGCGTCCAATCTCATTGTTAAGTTTGCAGATGACACTACAATGCTCGGACTTATATCCAACAATGATGAGACAAACTATAGGACAGAGGTGCAACAACTAGAGTCATGGTGCCACGACAATAACTTGGTCTTAAACACCAAAAAGACAAAGGAGATCATTGTAGATTTCCGGAAGAGGGGTCATAACAACCATCTGCCTCTCTTCATTGGCAGTGAGGCAAAGGAGAGGGTGAGCAGTTTTAAATTCTTGGGGGTAACTGTGACCGAGGACCTGTCCTGGGGCAACCATATCACCTCAGTTGCACGGAAGGCCCAACAGCGCCTCTACTACCTGAGGAGACTGCGGAGCGCACACATTCCCAGATCTCTGATGTTGAACTACTGCAACTGTGCCATCAGCAGCGTTCTGACGTATGGATTTCTGGTGTGGTTCCCCAGCTGCACCAAGGCCGATCAGCAAGCACTCCAGCGGGTGGTGAAAGAAGCTGGCAGAATTATTGGAACAAGTCTGCCAGAGATCAGTAATATCTTCCCCACTCGCTGTCTGAGGAGGGTGCACAGTATCCTGCGGGACCAACATCACCCTGCGCGCCACCTTTTCCATCTGCTGCCCTCAGGGAGACGGTACAGGTCTATACAGGCCAGAACATCCAGACTGGCCAACAGCCTGTATCCACAGGCTGTGAGGCTCCTGAACTCTCTGCCCCCCTCTCACGGACAATAACCATATCCAACTTCTTAATAGCAATGAACTGGTCTGCATTGGGCATCATATCTTTATTCTCTTCCCCCTCCTGCCCCCCCCCTCTTTCTTAAATAGATAACTATCATATCTGATATCATATCTCACAGTACAATAATATTGAATGGGTGCATTGTTGTATTTTGTCATGTTTCTCAGGTCTTTGTCTGAATTTCTATGAACATTATTGCTAAGGATTGTCTTATTGCATTGGAGTCACACTGGGTTAAATATGTACACTTGGGTTTTAAGGGGTATTTATTATTTTCTTCTTTTTTTGGGTTGTATGGAAGCCCCAAACGCAATTTCATTGTTCTTGACAATGACAATAAATAAATAAATACTACTATTTCTATGCTATTGTAAGTCATTATTGTCAGGCTGTCCTAAACACTGCATGAAAAACCTTCAGTTGATGCCAAATATACTGCACCAAAAGTACTGACAGGGACTAGAAAGTAAGAGAGCACACACTGGCTTCTCTTTAGTGGCTCCAGATTCTGATTTAAAATCCTTCCCCTCAAACACAAGTTTGGATTCAGGAGGCAGACGCTCTCTACTTTTAAGATTAGGCTTCAAACTTTCCTTTTTGCTTAGTTAGCACTGGATCAGGTCGACCGAACACTTTAAATACAACGTTTTTTGCAAAACACCAGAAATCTGTTGTGAAACCACGTTTCCCAACACAAAGTGACGGCACATTACAAGAACCTCCAACCAGAAAAGGCCAAGCTTCTCACTTTGCAAGTTTTTCCGCCTCCTCAGCCTCCAGCTCAGCAGAGCACTTAACAGTAGGCGGCCGGCTCCTCTGACGAGTCATCAGGTATGGGGAGTGGGGCTGAGTGAGCTTCAGGTGGTTCCCCTTTGCTGTGGCGGGTCCTGTTGAAACAGGACGCAGATACAATGAAAACCTGCAATAATGTTTTTTTTTAACCCTTATCTGAAGAGTGTCACAGAGAGTCAGCATGCACCACACCTCTCTCTTGACTTCTACGACTGTGCATATGGTAGCGGGTGGGGGTTCGCTTCTGGAACTGCTCGATCTGCTGGGCCATGGGCACATAAGCGCTCGCCTCTTCCGCCTTTCTCTTGTTGCCTCTTGACAGGTTGAAAGGTTTGGGCACTGTGGCACCTTTCCGAGCCTTTGCCTGAAAACAAGTATAATCAGTTTTTTTTTCCCCCCATCTCACCTTAGCTTAAATATGCAGATGTTTCATCAAGTTTCTTTTAGCTGCTGTTAACAAAGATGAACTTTATAGTGGGCTGCAATGAACTGGCAATAAAGCAAGTTGTGTCACTTACTGGGGAGGACGGTTTGCGAAGCTGACTGACAAAGTCCACTTCCTTCTCTGTGTTGCATGAAGTGGAGGACTTAACACGGGTATCTGTACTGAAGTGGAAGTCTTTGGGCACAGTTGTAGACAGGAACGTCTTCTTTGGTGGTGGATCTGAAATGACAGTGGTTTGGTTTGGTTTTTTTAAACCAAACAAGTAAAGTGAACACTTTTAACCCCCAGAACTCTAAACTCATCAGAACTGCTAACAGGAGTCATTTTGACCTGCAACAACAGTAATGGCAAAGACAGCGCTTCTGGGTCATCTCAGATCCTTTAAAAATGCACATGAGAATAAACCAATAAA